GCATAGCATAGGCTCCTTGCACAATATTCTTTATGTGGTCCTCAGGTGATAGTTTTCTATCTAGAACCACTCCTAGATCTCTTTCTTTATCAGAATTCTTTAAAGATTTCTCACTTAATATATAGGTTGTGTGGGGTCTATGTTCTCCTATTCCACATTCCATAACATGACATTTATTAACATTAAATTCCATTTGCCAAGTGGTGCTCCATATACTTATTTTGTCCAGGTCATCTTGAAGGGCATGACAGTCATCTAAATTTGTGTGTGTGTGTGTGTGTGTGTGTGTGTGTGTGTGTGTGTGTGTGTGTGTAATTACTTAAGTGTAGTTACAGGATGAGAGCTACGCTCGTGGTGTCTGTCTTCCCAGTACTCTTTGTTGTATAATACTTTGAACATAACATGTATGTGTATCTATCTGTCTGGTCTGTCTCATACTTAATAACCAGTTCCAAATTTTTTATGGTTTCAACTTTTGGACTGATATACTGGTATGTATGTTTAATTTAGTGAACAAGATGCACTGTTTTTAATCTGAATTGAAACTAACTTAGCAACATGATCTAACATTTCTGTCAATTATTCCTCAATTTTGTCTCATATAGTCATAACTAAACTAAAGTTAGTAATTCATGGTGTCAATATTGTATAACAGTATTAACTTTTAGGCGGCAATTATCATCTACAGTAGGTGTATTAATGATCCTTAGGGGAATGCGGTTTTCATCTTATGACGATTTAAACAATTATTGTCTGGGTTTTATATGTATGATGCAAATAAGGATATAATAGGTCTATGTGGATGTAACAGAGTTTACATTAACCCATAAAAATAATCCTGCTACCATTTCATTGTTACAAATACAGTTATCATCACGAATGTTATTAGGGGGAATGCAGTCACCGTCATATGGAGATTTAAGCAATTATTGTTTGGATTTTACATGATGCAAATATGGATATAATAGCTCTCTGTGGATGTAAATAAAGAAAAACAAGTGATAAAATAATAAGTGAAATATCCGAGGATAAAACAGGAAGCGTCAGCATAGTCGAGCACCAGGCATTGATAAGTGCCAGACACAGCCTTACAGAGTGCCTCCACCCAATGAAACAATAAATATTCACTTATTTTCTTGTTTATCTTACATTTTGCATACAAATTAATAATTCTATAATTTTTATAATATCTTAATAATTCTATAATATCACCATAGCCACTGTTCAAGGGATAACTAATTTTAAAATAAACATTTGAAAATATATAAAATTATCCTGGTTGTCAGGTAAAATGCTCTTTACATACTAGGTCAAATAGTACAGTTCTGGTATTAGGTATGACATTTATATACCTATACAATGGGGCCTCAACTTCCGATGCTAATCCGTTCCCAGAGATGGATCGGAAGTCGAAATATCGGAAGTCGAAGCAAATTTTCCCATAAGAAATAAAGGGATTTGAATTAATCTGTTCCCCACCCTCCAAAATATTAACATAAAAATACATTTTATACTGAATACAATGTTTTTTTCTAACTACAATACAGTACCAAAGTTACTCTTACCTATATGGAGGGCTCTTGATGGCGTATGGAAGATGGTGATGGGGGAGGAGGAGAGTTGTTACTGTTTGGAAGGGGAGTCCCCTTCCATTATCACATCAGGCAGTGATGTTTTCTCTGGGGTACTCTCTCTCTCCTATATTTTGCCTGAATACCACTAGGACCTGGTTGTGGTTCAGTGCTTGTTTGTCTCACTACATATTTGTCAAGAGACATTTGTTTTTCCATTCGTTTTAACATTTGTCTGTAATGATGCATCACTTTAGCACCCATAATGTCCTTTTTCTTAGCTAGTATGGTGGATATCATTGACTGAGATTTGTTGTACTGCCTAGCCAGTTCACCTACCTGCACACCATCTTCATATTTACAAATGATCTGTTGTTTCTGCTCTATGGTCATTCTTACATGGGATCTCATATGTTGAGCCTTACCATTGACTTTCCCGGGACTCATGGCGTATTATATAATAATTACTTTAATGTTCAAAATGCAAAAAATCACCACGAGCGGAATTTCTTATAGGCGCGATCGTCACTAAGCGGGTAGCTGTAGTAAACTGAGGCAGGTCGGACCGCGTGACCGGGAACCACGCGCTCGGCCGACCCGAACGTGTACCAACAAATATCGGATGTCGAGTCGCATTTTTCGATGAAATTTATATCGTAGCTCGAAATTATCGTAAGTAGGGGCAATCGTATGTCGAGGTGCCACTGTATTAACTACATAGTGTCAGATAGGTATGGAAAGTCTTGATACAAAAGATTTGTTGACAAACCTATAGGAATGATAAATTACTACAGGATTGTCAATTTCCTTCATGCTTTGTCTACATTATAAAACAAATTACAATACATATAACATTCCTCAAAAATGTATATTATTGGAAGAAACGGGACTTTTTACTTTAAAATACATAGAACACTTTAACCACTGTGCTGAGCCACCCGACAAAACTCGTGGCAGGCCAAGAGCAAGCCGAGAAAAGACTATTTTAAGATTTTGTAACATTCAAAATGCGCGCGCCGGAGGTTGGGTATGAAATGAAGGCCTGAGGCCTCTAGTAGGTGGAGGCCTTTTTGACAAAAAATCCCATTAGGCCCCCAGGGCCGCGAGTACTCTCATTTCTGATCGAGCAACCATGGCTGACGCATGCACTCCCAGCTATCGATCGCCTGTGGGACGTGGTAGTGAGCGATCGCTTTCTGAAGGAGAAATTCGGACATTATTACCGAAGAGAAAAGTGGTATTGATGACCCAGGGCAGGATAAGGCCTAACACAAGGGACCAATGCAAATGATACAGACACAGATGAGCACAATACATTGAGCGTGTCTTGTTCTGGGCGAGCGCCACGCATGGTGGGAGCCCATAGGTCATCGCCCATGTTATCACCACCACCTGTGCCATCTCCCATCTTTGGTATAAGTGATACTGTTGAATCATTTTCTGGGTTCAGTGAAACTGCATCTGATACAATTAGCATAGATGAACCCATTGGTAGCGACTACTGGCATGGTGTTACTAGGCGGAGATTTGCAGTGTCAATAGCACGCCCTGCCAAGCACCACCACGTCTTCCTTCATGACGACACTGATTTGTGTCACATATACATCTACATCTGCTTTCCCTGCTCACTCTGTATACACGGTAGAAGAGATTATTGGAACAAAGAATGCGCTGTTCCAATCACGGTGTTCAACAAGTACATGTCATGAGCCAGGTTCCTCATACTATTATGGTGCCTACACTTTGAAGACCTTGCAAATGTTGATCGAAATGATAGACTTTGGAGAGTGCAAAAGGTGTTCAGTGATATTAGAGGGAAATTTCATGATTACTTTGTACCAGGACAGAATGTTGTTATTGATGAATCCCTAGTTCTTTTCAAGGGACGTCTGCTCTACAAACGAGTACATCCCATTGAAACGGCCCTATTTTGGTCTCAAATTCTTTGTACTGTATGACTGTGAAATTGGAATAGTGATCGATATAATATTGTATTCCAGTTCACATAAAGATATACCCGCACAAGATGCTCACGGGTTTTCTGGCAGTGTGGTAAAGACACTTATGGAACCATTGCTGAACAAGGGGCACATTTTGTACACTGACAATTATTATATGAGCCCCTTCCTATCAAAGTTCCTGCTTGAACATAACACGGGCGTGTGTGGCACTGTAAAGACACATAGGAAAGAAATGCCAGTTTTTTACAATAATATTGGCATAGGTGATTGTATATGTACTTAGAAAATGTGACAAGATTTTATCAGAGCGCTGGAAAGACAGACGTGAAGTCAATATGATGATAGCTATTCACACTGGTGAAATGCTCAACAGTGGAAAAGTGAGGTATCGAGCTGATGGAACATTGTATAAGCCAGATAGTATCATAGACTACAATATCAATATGAGACTGGTAGATAAATGTGACATGATGGTTGGTGTAAAGTGTAAAGTTGACAAAAAAATTCTTCTTTTATTTTGTGGACCTAAGAGTGCTCAACTGTTTCAACATGTTTTTGGTGAAAACAGGTCAGAAACCATCAATTCGTGTTTTTAGTCAGGCTCTCATGTCACAATTACTCGTCAAGTATGGCCTGGAAAATAGTGTCAGGACAGTTGTACATGTGCTAACAGCACCACATATAGTTTCCAACAGACTGGCTAGTAAAGACAACTTTACAATTCACAAGTCTGCCTACATACCACCTACAGGAACTAAAGCCAAAGTGGTACGTGAGTGCACTGTGTGCAAGCACACAGAACGTAAACCCAGGAGCATAAATCTGGGTGTATCACATGCATTGAGTGCAAAGTCGCACTCTATTTCATGGACAGAGCAAAGCAGAGCAAAGTAGAATGGAACAGATTCCCTTCTACTTTGCTCTGATGAAGGCGATGTAGCCGAAAACGCGTTAGGCATTCTCTATTTTTCACATGTGGTTTTTCCGCATACTTAGATCAGTGTTTTTTTATCATATTCATTATATATATATATAAATATGTATATATATGTATGTATGTATATATATATATATGTCGTACCTAGTAGCCAGAACGCACTTCTCAGCCCACTATGCAAGGCCCAATTTGCCTCATAAGCCGAGTTTTCATGAAATAATGTTTTTCCGACTACCTAACCGAACCTAACCTAACTTTTTTGGCTACCTAACCTAACCTAACAGGGTTGGTTAGGTTCGGTCATATATCTACGTTAATTTTAACTCCAATAAAAAAAAATTGACATCATACATAATGAAATTGGTACCTTTATCATTTCATAAGAAAGAAATTAGAGAAAATATATTATTTCAGGAAAACTTGGCTTATTAGGCAAATCGGGCCTTGCATTGTAGGCTGAAAAGTGCGTTCTGGCTATTAGGTACGACACATATATATATATATATATATATATATATATATATATATATATATATATATATATATATATATATATATATATATATATATATATATATATAGTAGTAGTTATAATGAATAGTGAACAAATAATATTGCAACAATAAACATTTATTGTGGACACATTACTGACACATTTATCACAGTTCCATGGAACATTATGAACATTCTTCTGTATACATACGTATTGTAAAGGACACATACTGTATGTGCATCATATATGATGAAAAAAAATATATATATAAAGCATTGAACATACATAGAAAAAACTATTTGTAAATATATTGGTGGCAACTCGCGAGGCTTGAATGGCCCATGTGACCACCTTTGGGAGCACCACACATGGGCGACCAGCCCGTAATGATGTCACACATCACTTTGTCTATGTCCCCACAGTAAGTGGACTTTAGCATTTTATTTTACAGGTACATGTTCAGGAAAGAGATTTTAATATTTTACAAATAAATTTGTTTTTGGGGAAAACACTTGATTTTTGGTGCACAGCCAGAATGTCACAATAAATGAGGCACAGCACATTGGTTAAAATACAGCGGTAAAATGATAGAGGGAGGTGGGGTAAACAAAATCTGCACAATAAACAAAATAAACTTATTAATCTTAGTGCTTCTCCTTGTCATTTTGTGTTATAATTTCCTCTCTGGTATAAATTCAGCCACTGAGAAGATTACTGAACTGCACTTAATCAACAGACTAATCCACAAAATGGCTACAGTACTTCATTACAACGGCTGAAGTAATACAATGAGTAACAAGAAATACGTAAAACATCCATCATCGTCGTCCTTTCTAAGTATTGTAACAATGTTCCCTGTAAAATGAATGCAATAACCTCTAAGGACTTTTATGTTGATATGAAAAATATATTTTGTGATTAGTGTTAATCTGTACAATAAAAATCTATTAATGTCTCATTATCTTTGTGCCGACAACAATATCTGCCGAGCTATCACTACACACAGCATTAATCAAACTCATCTGACGATACATCAACACTGGCTTGAACTGTGGCATCATCACGAGTGTCATCATTACGTACATTTAACATTTTGGAGAGTGTCACACCAACCTCCCCATGACTTTCCTCACTATTTGATCTTGGATTCTCAGGGGCAAGTTTGGGTAGTGTACCATTATCTGTATGCTTTCCAATAGTATTTATCAGATTATTGAAGACCTCGGCTCTGTCTGCATATACGTGATGGCCTGCTCCCTGTATAACCTGCAAATAAATAGTTTTTAAAATCATCTCTGGCCACTAGATATACTAGATATTTGGGTTAAATATACAGGTACAGAAATCTCATTCTTCTAGCATTTGTTAAAGAAATCAAGCACTAGATGCAGGGAAGCTCCCTTTTCTGGGTGATCTCAGTAGTTGTGTGTGCATTGACTGTGGTACCCCACACACACACACACACACACACACACACACACACACACACACACACACACACACACACACACACACACACACTAATAAAGCTAAAGGCTTTCAACTTGCACAAGGCTACCAAACACCAGAATCAGACTCTGGTATGTGCATAAAGGTCAGGAAACCATAGGGGATCAAGTAAAAGTGGCCAGAAAGTACAGGCAAAGAAAAATAAAAAACTGCTCACAACTTGATTAAATCGAGAAAAGAAACAAGGCAAGCAACAGTTTTCTGGAGGTTAACAATCATTAAACCAGTACCCAAGGGTGCCACCATCTGGACCCCTGGCTGACCCAAGGGAGCCTCCATCTGGACCCCTGGCTGACCCAAGGGAGCCTCCATCTGGACCCCTGGCTGACCCAAGGGTGCCACCATCTGGACCCCTGGCTGACCCAAGGGAGCCTCCATCTGGACCCCTGGCTGACCCAAGGGTGCCACCATCTGGACCCCTGGCTGACCCAAGGGAGCCTCCATCTGGACCCCTGGCTGACCCAAGGGTGCCACCATCTGGACCCCTGGCTGACCCAAGGGTGCCACCATCTGGACCCCTGGCTGACCCAAGGGAGCCTCCATCTGGACCCCTGGCTGACCCAAGGGTGCCACCATCTGGACCCCTGGCTGACCCAAGGGAGCCTCCATCTGGACCCCTGGCTGACCCAAGGGTGCCACCATCTGGACCCCTGGCTGACCCAAGGGTGCCACCATCTGGACCCCTGGCTGACCCAAGGGAGCCTCCATCTGGACCCCTGGCTGACCCTAGGGAGCCTCCATCTGGACCCCTGGCTGACCCAGGGTGCCACCATCTGGACCCCTGGCTGACCCAAGGGTGCCTCCATCTGGACCCCTGGCTGACCCAAGGGTGCCACCATCTGGACCCCTGGCTGACCCAAGGGAGCCTCCATCTGGACCCCTGGCTGACCCAAGGGTGCCACCATCTGGACCCCTGGCTGACCCAAGGGAGCCTCCATCTGGACCCCTGGCTGACCCAAGGGTGCCACCATCTGGACCCCTGGCTGACCCAAGGGTGCCACCATCTGGACCCCTGGCTGACCAAACATGCCACCATCTGGAGCCCTGGCTGACCCAAGGGTGCCTCCATCTGGACCCCTGGCTGACCCAAGGGTGCCACCATCTGGACCCCTGGCTGACTCAAGGGTGCCACCATCTGGACCCCTGGCTGACCCAAGGGTGCCACCATCTGGGCCCCTGGCTGACCCAAGGGTGCCACCATCTGGACCCCTGGATGTCCAAACATGCCACCATCTGGATCCCTGGCTGACCAAACATGCCACCATCTGGACCCCTGGCTGACCAAACATGCCACCATCTGGACCCCTGGCTGACCAAACATGCCACCATCTGGACCCCTGGCTGACCAAACATGCCACCATCTGGACCCCTGGCTGACCAAACATGCCACCATCTGGTCCCCTGGATGACCAAACATGCCACCATCTGGACCCCTGGCTGACCAAACATGCCACCATCTGGACCCCTGGCTGACCAAACATGCCACCATCTGGACCCCTGGCTGACCAAACATGCCACCATCTGGACCCCTGGCTGACCAAACATGCCACCATCTGGAGCCCTGGCTGACCAAACATGCCACCATCTGGACCCCTGGCTGACCAAACATGCCACCATCTGGACCCCTGGATGACCAAACATGCCAACTTCTGGACCCCTGGCTGACCAAACATGCCACCATCTGGAGCCCTGGCTGACCAAACATGCCACCATCTGGACCCCTGGCTGATCAAACATGCCACCATCTGGACCCCTGGCTGACTAAACATACCACCATCTGGTTCCCTGGATGACCAAACATGCCACCTGGTGGCACGTTCTGGTACTGCTGCAATCATTATTTACTTTAGGCAAACTAACACCTATTTTCTTTCCTTCTCTTTTCAAAATGCTATGAATTGGCTTCCGGAACTGAGAAACAAGTGCTATGATGAGAGGGCTAAAGGCGTTAAAAAAACCAAAGCTAGATGATAGAAGAAGAAGAAAAAAGGAAAGAAAAAACCAGCGTTGAATGTAATGAAACGCCATTATCTGGGCAAGTCCCGGAGGCTAGCCGGAGCTATCTAGGCTGAATGGATATATATAACTTTCTTTCATCAAAGTGCTAGGAGTTCTTGCCTACCGGGGACCACGACCCAGAACCTGGCCCCCCCCTCAGAGAGGCATGAGGAGCAATAGCCTATAGAAATCCCCCTTGTGGTTGGGAGCATTCTATGTCTGCCATCACCAGGAATAGGCACCCAGAAAGGTAGGTCCCCCAAACAAACCCCTATTCTGGTGAAAATATTGCTACCAAAAGCCGAACGAGTGGACAGAACTCCCCAAACAAAATTATCAAACTAGCATGACGTCATCATGTCGCCGTGCCACCCCCTCCCCTCTTTGGGAGGGTGAAGGGGAAGCCCCAGACCCTCCACGCCGGCAATCCAACTGGCAGTTCTTAGACTGGATGTCAAAATACGTGAAAAACCACTGACCGGAGGGAGGGAGGGACGCCGGGGAGCCTCCAAGACTCACCCAAAAAATGGCATTTCATTACATTCAACGCTGGTTTTCTGGGGGGAGCCTCGTTGGCTCCCTGGAGCTACCTCACCACAGATAAGGAAAATAGGGAAGGATCCGGGAGGCGGACGTCGCATGCCCTAACCTAAAAAACCAAGACCACAGACGAAACAAAGACCCTGCAGACGGGAATGCGAACAACCAAAATGCGTCCACGTCCCCAGACGCCAAGACATGCAGAGAACAGCGGGAAAAAAAAGCAACTGAACAACAAAGGAAGCACCCCCCCGCCCCGACCAACCAAGCAGCAGCCCATAGACCAAAACGAGAAGAAAATAGACCACCTAGGCCAACGACCAGGACGGCACCAGAACTCAAGAGCAGGCCGGAGGTGAAACAACGCCCAGGACAGCAAGCGGAACGGAGCAGAAGAAACCGCAACACCGAATGCAAGCAGGAGCGGCTCCGCCAGCACCACCCAATACGAGGTGACAGGACACGGTCGCAGACGACGGACCCGGAACAACCCCAAAGGGAAGACAAGCCAACCCTATCAGAGATCGAAGGACCCTTCGCAGTGATAGGAAAACCGGAAGGACCGCCAGGAAAACCACACACCGCCCCTGAGACAAAACACGCAGGTGAAAGACCAACAACAAACCCACCAATGCCGACACAACAAGAAACGAGCACCATGGATGAAAGCGCAAAATGCGAATAAAAAAACAGTGACCCCGCAACCCAAAGGAGCAACATAACCAGCTCCAGCAGGGAAGAATGACGCACGTGCCCCTGAGGCATCCAAGGAGAACTATGCAGGACGTGAACCACAGGAAAGCAAACACACCCGTTCCGGAAAAGGAACAAAGAAAAACCGGAGCCAGAACCGGAACCCAGCTATCGGTTCCAAGAAAAGGAACCAGTAAGGCAGGAGACGTGGTCCGAAAGTCCATAACCCCCACAGACAGTGCAACACCGAAGCCTGCAGTAAGTCACAAAGAAAAATCGTAGGAACTCAGTACCAAAACGGAACACCGGAGAAGTCCAAAAGCAGGGAACTGAACATGGACAGAGGCCCACCCGAGCACCCAACATCAGGATAGTCAAGAAGCACTGATCCAGAGACACAGACAAGTGTAGCATAGGAGAAGGAAAAACGGAAAGAGGCAAGGAAAACCCCGAATACGAACCAAGGAGCGGCCGGGAAGTAATGCATACGACCAACCACAAAATGTGCAGTGGAGGGCATACATACCTGAGGGACCTCATGGACAGCAGGGTGCAGCCAGGCACCAAAGATAGGCAAGGAATGAGTGTCCAGATAGGGAAAAAACCCCGGTGCTGACAACGAAACCAAAAGCACCGAAATGCGAGGCAGAGCCCCACAGGACAACAAAGAACAAGGTACATGGACAAAGGAAAGTCACTGAAACACATGCAAGGTGACCAAACGCAACACCACACCAAACAGCCCTGTTAGGAGCCATCAACGCAAGAAGAGAGTAAACAAGGATGGAGCAGTGACCAAGGGTGGCACACGCCGCCCTTGTGGCACGTTTTGTACACGAAACAAGGGATATAAATTGGAGAAGTGTAGATTTAGGAAATACTGGTACGGTAACCGGTCCGTTGATTTGTGGAACCAATTACCACGCAATGTGGTGGAGGTGGGATCCCACGATCGTGTCAAGCGTGGGTTGGACATGTATATGAGTGGGATTGGGTGGTAATAAATAGGAGATGCCTCGAATGGGCCAATTGGCCCTCTGCAGTTTCTCTATTCGTATGTCCTAATGTTTGCATGCACAAGGGGACACAGGAGAAAGCCAAGTACCCAAAGGAGCCACAGACATGAAAAAGAACCTGATCAATGTCTGAGGAGATAGGAAGTGGAAAGCACTCGGAAGCTATGTGGTGGAGGCAGACTTCACCCACAGGAGCAAACGTAGATAAGACAGAGCCTAGGAGGCTCAAGAAACAGCATAACCGTCGACCGACAGGAGAGAGGCGGGGCCAAAGAGGCAGAGCTCAACCCCCGCAAGCACAACTAGGCTAGCACCCCACCAAAAGTCGAGAACCAGCACCTGGCCGACAGAGGCGCCAGACATGACAATCACACCTAGAGACAGGACCCACGACTGTGCCACAACATAGGCAAGCCAAGTAACATACCAAGAGCATCGATAGTGGTCGCTCGAACGCCATGCATACTAGAGGCAGTAGGCATTGTATGTACCGTTACCTGAATAAAAGTT